AAGTTCGAAGCTCACATATCTCGGCATTCCTTTGCATCCAGCAGCTCACTGGCGCCAGATTTTCATCTAGTTAATTTTGTGAGAAACTCTATGCGTTTTTCCAAGTAGACATGGCAGCATGTATCTCTGAATAGGTCGAGTCGGAAAGCTCTAGAGGGCGTTAAATGCGGTGCTTCCGGGGTTCATTTCTGTGTCTCCACTTTAAGATACTCTGCAAACCACTGGTATTTGAAAGGTATACTCTGCACTGAAAGGTATACTCTGCACTGGTATACTCTGCAAACCACTGGTATTTTATTTGGTTACCTTTCTATTCAATGAGACGTGTGCATGATACGCAATCACCGTACTTATTGTTATGTATCTTACAATCGTATGACACATGATAACTGATGCCACAAAACACTGCTTCAGTTAGTACAGAATAGAAGTTGTCCAGCGTGTGCATAGCACAGTACGCAAATTCACGCCAAGCGTTATGTCTTAGGGCAAGCCTGCATCGTGATTTAAAAAATATCCCGCTGAGTGTTGAAAAGGGCACGTACATACGAACGCACACACGCAAACACTCATATGCATGTACACATGGGGTTTCTGACAGAAATCACGAACATATCACAAAAACTGTTGTAACCTGTTACTTTCTTAACATCCCATGCCAAAGAACGCTAGTAAAGAACGCCATTAAGATTGGTCGAAAGCGACTGCCTTGTTCAAGCAATAACATGACGCTCACTGTCATCACAACACAAGCTCACAAAAATGCTTTCTTTCAATACTTCGGAACCAAACGAGCGAAATCAATCGACTGTCACCGTAATTCGTCTTTCAAATAAAAATCAGCAATAAAATTCGAGTTTTTCTTACTTTCAACTTTGTGTTTTTATATTTTTATCATGTACGAGCCCATCTCTTTCTATACGTGCCACGTTACAACGAATACAACTACCATGCACTGCTTGCAGTGTACATAAGAACAATGTCACACACACACATGTAACCACTGCATGTGCCTCGCTATTCCTATATTTTCACTCTGCGAGTGCGCGCACAGGGTACGTATGAAATTTTTAAGTGCGAAGCACTCTAGCTCCTCGACTTGTCCGCGCTTCCGGTCGCCACGGTGTGCCACCTAGTCACGGTTTATTATAAGCGGGTATTCATCATAAAAAAATATCATAGTTTTGGCACAAGGCTGAAAAAATGAATGCGATTGCAACACATCGGACTGTTAGCTGGACTATTCAGGAACCAAACGAAATGTAGTGAACACGGTCGAACGCTCGTTGAGCGGCAGTGTTTCTCAAACGCGCAGAAGCGCGTACTTTTTGTGTCTGGGCACGTATCCGAGCACGCCTTGCTTTAGCGCGACTGGCATTCCGTTCGAGCTGTTCCGCGAGTGTCTGTACAACACGCGGTGACATCACAAAGTTCGAACTACACACAGCGTTTTCGGCGACGTTTCATTCCTTGGCGTCAGTCGATGTCGATGATACCGGTGACGGTAGCGCAAAGCACAGTTCGAATGCACTTCACCAAGACGTCGACTTCAGATTGTCCCAGACACTGCAGTGTGGGCGGCAATGCCGGGAGCAGCTGGATGGTAGGAGAAGCTTGCTTGCTTATTCTTTCATACATGGCTCCCACACACCACGGGGTATTGGCCATGAAACCAGCGGTTAATGTATAAGTGCGTAACTGCATAACTACAAGCGAGATATACGAGATTAGTTCAAGAATGTTTCTTTCGAGTTCATTAACAGTAAACCTGTTGTAAATGTTATATATATTGTCAGGGGTATAGAACATCGACGATGTATAGCTCGCCGTTAGTGATGTAAATGGCATGAGCGGCGCGGTGTAGTTGGTTAACGCAGCGCACCGAGGAGGGACGCGTCACTAGTTCGGATCTCCGGAGAGGTAGTTTTGAATATTTTTATTATTTTTGTGCCTTTTATGTACAAACATATACATACATATGCATATCCGGGTAAATCCAGCAACTCGTGACTGGTTCAATAAAAATGAAAAAGGTAACAGTAAAGCCAACAAATAGACGACGACATTACTAGAGCGGGAACACCTTTTCTTACATGCCATAGAGAACAGAACACAGGGCATGTTGGAAAGAAGAAGAAAAATTTTCTGACGGCTTTAATGGAGAGGAAACAGCCTTCCCTACATGCCGTAGGGAACTGAAACCGGACATGTACGGAAGAAGAATATGATGACTTGCATTCCTACGCAGGTTTCCAATGACTTAAGTAGAGCGGAAACACCCTTCCCTACAAGACCGCTTCAAGGCTTGGCACCACCGGTGCTTCATCAAAAGATGTATTTCAAAACACTGCATACTTCACCCAGTCCCCAGGTTTCGCGTCAGTGTAGCTGGAACACCCTTCCCTACATGCTTCACCTCTTCCCAGTTTGCTTCTCTCCCTCTTTTTTTTAATTGTTGTACCTCTCACACGTGTACACAATTTGAAAATTCCTTAGATTACCTATTTTTATTCTGCACGTGCGCAGGCCAACGCAGTAATCAAAATAAGGTACAAAACCTGAATTTAGAACCTCTCGCTGCTATGTGGGCTGATCTAAAGCCTTATAGGAGGCCGGAATCGTTTGTTTTACTTTCGTGGTCTGCCGTGCACAATTTAGATATCGCGTTAAAATATAATAAGGCTCTTTTCGCTCTAATGGTTTATGAATACGTGGTCTTGCTGGTTCTGAACTAACAATTTCGCGCTGTTGTACAGAGGATTGTAGTGATATATTGGGCACTGTACACAATAACCAGAAAACAGCTTGGGAACGAGGCTGAGATTGCGGTCACAAGAATGCGTTGATAAGGGTTGAGGCTGCGCTCGCGTAGGCGTGCCACACAACGGCCATCTACGTTCTTGTTCAATCACGCAGTGCATTTTTATGGGTCCAAAAATGCGACTCCCCCTATTGCTTCTTCGAAGAAAGAAGTAATAAAGAGAACAAAGCAGCAAGCTTATTTCGTTAAAATGGTACATATGAAACTTGCATTGTTTTTCTGTTTCTTTGAAAGTAAGAGGAGTACGTAATACTGATAAAAGTTATAACGGCTCTCTGTACTTTTGCGCTTAATATTAGGAAACAAGGAGCACACTTTGCCACTTGGGCGTGTACGCCTGCTGACCCAGGCTTTATGTCCTTGAAAGCGTGCTTTGCTAAACGCAGTTGTGCGCAAGGTGAAGCACGCTTTTCAAAAACACAGCGCAGTGCCATTAAGAGCTGCGAACACCTAACGTCTGTCTGACCGCACGAGTAACCTGGTAAAATGAGGCAGCTATTGGCAAATAAAATACAATGACAAAAAATAATAACAAATGGGCAGCGGTCATTAGTGGACTCCCGCTACCCAGAACAACGGGCCATAAAATAAACTCACTGATGTTTTCCACGAAGCGCCTACCTCGACAGAATTGCACGGCGTCATTGCGCTCGCGTTAAACGGCAAGGAGCAGCGATCCTTGCCGATCATTGTCGCAGACGGCGCAGTCAGCGCATGGCGAGGGCGACGAGTAGCTCTTTAATTAGCGCGCGGCGGCCGGTTCCAATGTGGCCGCTGCACTGGGAGCGTTTCATTGTCGCCGGTATGGGTGGGCCAGCGGCGCCGGCCACCGCGACTCCGCCGCGGGCGCAATTACGTGGAGACCCCGCGCGTGCCGCTGCCGTCCGTCAGCGCGCAAACAGACGCCACGTGGCAGTAAAAAGAGGCCCGCGGCGATTGACTCGCAGGCGGCGCCTAATTGGCCGTGTGTCCCCCGAGTAGCCACTGGGCGCAGCCGGACTTCTTTACCCCGGGTCGGCACAGTCGCGTGTCGCGAGACGCTGCCTTTACAACAACGATGGCGAAAGCAGAGAGAGTGGCGCCGAGGGTTTCGACGCTGATTCTCTGGGAAAGGATAACGTCCCGCTCATTCGAAAATGCCCTCTCTTTCAAAATTGTGCACGTTGGAAAGGCGCCTCTTGACTAAACGCCAAAGCTTGCCCTTAATTCCATCCAGGCTCATTCAAGTGTAGTTCAGTAAGCTAAATTTGCAGTTGCAGGTGGTTACAGTTACCAGTTTAGTGAGCCGCTGCGGATTCGGTACATTTGACCTCCAAGGTGTGCCATTGGAGAATCCCGCCGATGACCGGAAATTTTTTCATGGTTGGCCTCAAACGCACTAAAGTATAACGTAATCATTGCCGTTAGAGCTCGTACGTTTAAGCTAATTGTTAGCATGTCTATGCAGCCTCGGGGAACACATGTGGCGTCACCGTATTGTGTTTTCCAGAAATAATCTTTGCTACTCGTCAAAAGATCACTCTTGAACAACTTCAATTGTTATATTTAATGGTAGGGGGAACGCTGCCGTGAAAAATAACGATCTTAGGCATGAAAAAGTGGGTAACTCTAGATTAAGTTGAACCACTCATCGCTCTTTAGCATACTTACTGATACTTAAGTACACGTTCTCTTTTTTTTCTTTCACATCATCCCAAGTTAATCTTAGCATCATGCACACATGAAGCATGAACCGTGACGTCAAACTCAGCTGTGCTACCCCATGACCCGTAGTCAACCATGGCCGATAGGAGAAACTTTCGATTTCCATGCATCTCTGTCGATTGCTGCACGGCCACTTATTATATCACGACTGCAACCCTTTACGTACCAAGAACACTCGTCTAAACCAATTTTGGTGCACTCTAAAAAAACGCTGAAGCTGATTTCAGCCCGGAATTTCTCACTACGACAAACCTCAAAGTTTTATTGTGGTTTTCCCACGTAATATTCGTGAATTATTATTATAGCATTTGGAAGTACTGATCCAGTTGTAGGACAATTTAACCTCGTAACACATGACACGCTTGACTTCTATGGTATTCTCCATAGTTAGGTTATTTGCGCATATTTGTTATGACATTAGCTGCAATATGAATGTTAAGAAACTGAAAATTTGCATTTTATTATATTCGCACAGGGTGGTGGTTACATGATCACTTGGTTGGACACCTACTCTGCTGGAATCTCTCTTCTCTGCGCGGCTCTGTTCGAGTCTATAGGCATCGCCTGGATTTATGGTGAGCTCAACGCACCGCTTGATTCTCGCCCAAATATCTCCATATGGACGCGACAATGCAACTTTGGTTTGAATGCCATCAATGAATTGCCGAGCCAAACATTCAGACTACCAAACTTTGACCTTTGACAGTCACTTCGCAGCCCTCAATTGCTTGTCTTGCAAGATAGTATTAGTGTTGTTTTATCGTGTTGCGGCAGCATTTAGTTTCAGGAACTCGTTTATGAGCGGCCGTGATGAGTGCTGCCACGTGTACCCGCTAGCTCTTCACGCTTAATAGTCGCTAGGAACATAATTATAAAGAAAAAGAATTCACGCCCACAAACAATTTGGCATAGCTCAGCTCCAGAAAACAATACGGCTCCTTTTTTTCTTTTTTTGTGACACTTTTCATTTCATTTTAAAAATGACACGACGCGATCACTACCCGCTTTCTTCATGTTTCAGGATTAGATCGTTTCTGCGGAAACATACACGAGATGATGGGCTTTCGTCCGGGAATCTTCTGGAGGCTTTGCTGGAAGTTTATCACTCCCACTTTCCTTGTGGTAAGTCACGCAGTGCTGATGAGCGCACAGAATTACCAGAGAACCCTTCCTCAACCTGCGTCTTCGTGATACAATTTTTTTTTCTTTTAACGGTGGGACTGGTTAAGCCGAGTATTAGACCTCGCAGATACAAACAAAACTATCATCATCACGAGCCAGCACGTGCTCTCTTCTTCTTTTTCGTCCTATTTATTCATCTTCTGCTTCACTTCCAGAAACGTGTGTGCCGATTTTTCCGGCATCGAATGCGGTAACTTTGACCGGCGAGAGAACGAACTCAGAAATAGTGAAAGAAAGGGAGAAAGAGACAGGGAACGAAATTTTTTGTGAGATGGGTTCAAAGTCTGCGTACCCAGGATCTGAAAGCGAGCTTCGTAACCATTCGGCTGTCCAGGCCCACTAGCAGTTCTTAGCGTAGCCTTGTGTGGTATAGGTTTAGTAAGCTGGCAGTAAAAAGACTGTGAGGGTGAGTATGCGGGAAAGCAGGAGGAAGAGAGTAAAGCATAACAAAGAAGGAAAGAGAGAGAGAGAGAATTAAAGATTAAGAAAGAGAAGAAAGACATGAAGAGAAAGAAAGCAAAGAAGAAAGGAGAAAGGGAGTGAAGAATATGGAGAAACAGAGAATAGAGAGGAAAAAAAAGAAATGTACAGAGAGAGAAAAAGAGAAATAGAGATGAACAGAGACAAAAATACATAGAAAGCAGAAAGGTGAGAAAAAAAGAAAGGCATGGGGGAAAGTAAAAATAAAAAGAAAGAATGAAGGCCTCCCTTCTTCGCACATCCTTCAAGTTTCGCACTACTAGTTTGAGGCTGCCTTAATTGTTTTTAATAAACGCAGTACAGCGTAAGTAGGACGCACGATTACTGTAAATTTAGTCCGACGCAAAATATTTCATTACTTGCTTATGGGTTAATTGGTTCATATTTTTTGTGCTCCGGGAACGTATAAGGAAGCAGCGTTGGTTACTCACAACTATGCCAACAGTAATTAAAGTGTCACGTTACGTGTATTCCGCAAAGTCTTGCACTTTTTGTTCATCAGTTTCTTCTAAGAAACATTAGCGTTCTAAACACAGGTGTCTAAACACAGGTGTCTTTATAATTACGTATTTATGTATATTCTATTAAAATAACTCACCACCTAATACCTAGGTATTAATGTTGCGCCTCATATATGCGTGATGGTTGCTTTTTGGTCGACAATTTTCGCACGTATGTGAATGCAGCCACGCGTTCAAGATAGCTAGGCGTTCAACAAGTGCTTAAACTTTGGCCGGGTGTCTGAATTGTGTGAGAAACAGACAAAGAGGCAGACAGAAAGGCAGACAGAACAAAATTTCTGCATTCAATTATACCAAGAAAGACTATGGATTGTCTTAAAAAATTGAATAAAGTTGACCGCAGTCACTTAATGTCATCTCACGCCGAGGACAATGTATACGCGTTGTCGTTCTGGGGCACTGTTATTAGCTGAAGAGCGCGCTGTGTTCGGATAACAGCGTCCTTTCTTGTCCTGTCTGTTCTTGTGTTAACGCACTCTCACCCGTGGTGGTGAAAAAAAAGTGCTTCTGAACGTGAGCTGTGCTTGTTTCTTGCAGCAATTGTTTACAAGCTCCATTAAAATTCCATCTTTTCTTGTTTTCCTCTTGACATTTTCGCGCGGATAGACAAAAATGGCTTGCTGTGAGTCAATGAATTAGATTGTATCGGGTAACACTCGATGCTTTTTATCGACACTGAACTTTTTTATCTATACGGTCACTTAAAAAGATTCCCCAGAGTGATCTCATCTGAAAATGTTAATTAGGCTAGAGAGCCAGATAGCACTCGCTGTCTCCGTTTTCTAAACTAACCACATCGCAGCCTCGCCCTAAATACGTCGTTCTGCTTGCTGTGCCCCTTTTCCTATGTTACGCGATTCAGCTTGCCTTATGTGTTAATAATATGGTCTATTTTTGAATAGCCTGTATTAACTCATGCTTAACCAAAGCGCAAGCAGAACTTTGTACAGGCTACTGGACATCAAACCATATTCACATTATCAATCAGGGGTGAATAAATGCGCAAAATATAACATATGTGTAGCATTTTCCAATTACGAGAAAGCATTTGGTTCATAGCAAGCATATCAGCAGCCATGCAGGCACCGAAATTATAACTTCGACGAACCATCTATTAAAATATTGGATGACATTTACAGCCACTCCACAGGCACCATTGTCTTCGATAAAGAAAGTGACGAAATCCCAATAAAGAATGGTTCAAGGGAAGGACGCACGATTTCTCCAACGCTATTACCCACGTGTTTACAGGAAGTTTTCAGGGCTCTACATTGGCCAGAGTGAGGGATAAAGGTTAATGGAGAGTTCCTTAGTAACCTACGATTCGCTGATGACATTGCATTGCTGTGTAACTCGGGGGACGAACTGCAACTGTGAACTGGACAAGGAAAGCAGAATGATAGGTCTGAAATCAATATGCAGAAAATTAAAGTGACGTGCAACAGTCTCGACAGAAAACAGCGCTTTGCTGTTTGTGACAAGACACTGGAAGTTGTAAAAGAGCATGTCAACTTAGGACAAGGAATACGTCTTAGGGTCCAGTAGTGACTGCGAAGCTGGAAGATGTGAGTGAAATAACTAGGAGAATAAACATACGGTGGAGCACATTCTACAAACATTCTCAAGTTATGAATGGTAGCTTAGCGCTATCCCTCAAGAGAAAGATATATAAGCGCAGTATCTTACCGGTGCTTTCCTATGCAACAGAAACCTGGAGGCTTAACAAGAGTGTTCAACTTGAAGGGACACTAAATTCAAGAAATAAAATTTACGTGAGAGTGAAAGCTCAATGTATGACAGCGTCTAAAACGACAATATTGGCATGGGAATCAAGAATACACGGAAGAGAGAAACGAGTATATTTGCAATACTTGCAAGTAGCTGTGACACCCAAAGGCTGTCGTCATCTCGCGCGGCAATTCCGCTTCTTTTTCCTCGATTCGTCTACGACGGCGGAGTCATGCCCACCACCTCCTAACATCACCCCCGACGGACGAAGTGCCGTCAAGAAGAGTTGGTGATATCGTCAAGGCCACACACGTGGTGGCTTGCGGTGACAGCCAAACATAATCAACAGAGCACAAGCGGTGTGACGGTGAAGATTGCACAGCCCCAAGCCGAGGCAGTTCAAGTTGGAGAATGTCGGTTGCACTATCGATGAAAGCAACATGAGTGGACAAGAAATCCAATCCGAGAATTAGGTCATTGGGGCACTGCTCAATAACTGCAAACAGAACATATGTGGGGTGATCGGTGATTATTATGCGTGCTGTGCTCATTCCTGTGATGGCGAGACTTCTTCCGTCACCGACATGAATATGCCAGGAGCATGCAGCCGGTGTGAGCACCATCTTCAGGCGGCAACCAAATTGAGCACACATCACATAAATATGCGCCCCTGAGTGTCAACAAGCACAGAAACAGTCAGACCGCCTACGTCGACGTTGATCAAATTTCATCGTGTCGGCAGTACAAGGAGAAGATTTGAGGTCAAAATCAAGGATGCTGCTTCACCTCTAAGAGTTGCACCTCTTAGTTTCCCTGATGAGGATTGAGCGAGGAGTTCAGGTGTCATCGTAGAGGAAACGGCGACGACGGGCGACGTCCTGGCGGCGAACAGGACTGGTGACCACGAGGTGACGGTGAGCGGCTGGGCTGCGTATCAGGGGCACCGAAGGCGTAGGCATCGATTGGTGGGAGCCGGCGGTAGTTGCCGGTGATCGGCGCAGGAGGCTGGAAACGGTGGTAGCTGTCGGCGCGGCTAGCAGTGATACAGGGTTCGGGGCGAAGACGAATGGTTATGACAATACCGTGTGACGTTACCTATGCGGCGGCAGTTAAAGCAGATCGGCCGATCATCCACAGTTCGCCATTCGGCCGGATTGTTAGAGCGTGGACAGGACCGTTCCTGGAATGGTAATCTGGAGTGAGGCGGTGGCCTTGAACAGAAGCCAATTCACCGAGATCGAACAACGGCGCAGACATCAAAGCCGAAATTGCTGAATTCTTCCCGTACAATCGACTGGACCAAAAAAAAAACCTGAGGCACTCGCAAATCGACGTGGCCGTTGGAGGGAAGAGCAGGTGTAATTGCTTCAATTTCCTACCGGACGATTCGAGTAATTTCAGACACCGGTGAAGACTGCCGACGAGAGGTGAATTCATCTTCACAGGAGTACGTCGCAGAGTTGTTTTCTTCAGACGAGTGAATGATTTTGGAATACGCCTGCGTTTGGCTAGTTCAAAACGCCGACATTCCTCAATAATTGCAACGACGGTCACACAATTCCATCACGTTAGCAGGTTGAACTATCCCCTTGAGCACGTGGCCAACCTTCTCAGACTCCCACGTGTTGTTATCGACTTTACAATATAGAGCCAGCACATCTTGAATGTATGAGATATACGGCTTTGTGGATGTGTGAGCACGGATGGACAACTCTTTCTTTGCAGCCGCCTTTCGACCAATGAGCTTGCCAAATAAATCGCGACGCTTCTGCTAGAAAGTGTCTCAACTGCCGACCTCTTCCTCGTGATTCTCGAACCACACCTTGGTCGTACCATCCAGGTAAAACAGCGCGTTGGCCAGCATGAGAGTCGGGCCTTATCAATTCAGCGCATGCATTTGTACGTTCATAGTCGGCTATACAATGGTCGACGTCAACTTCGTTCCTACCGCAGAACGTTCCTGGGTGCTCCGGATGCGTCAGAACGTACGAGGGTGGGATTGGGGCGGTGCAGGCATTGCCGTAGATGATGTGGGCGTTGCCGTGGCCGATGGAGAAGTGGCCGTGGGATCGATCAGTCCCGTGCTTCATCACAGAAACTCCGATTTGACAACCACTGCGGAGCTCCGTTATAAAGCGCCTCGTCACCCAGCACGTCCGCCAATTTGTCACAGTGATCACGAATACACGGAAGAGAGAAACGAGTATATTTGTAATATTTACAAGTAGCTGTGACACATGATGATGATGATGATGATCCTTGTTATTCTGGAGCCCACCCACAAAGGGGAATAGGCCAAGAACCGGGCAAAGACTGCCAGCATTTCGCGCGGCGAGTCTGCTTCTTTTTCGTCGATTCGTCTACGACGGCGGAGTCATGCCCACTGCCTCGCAACAGTCTTATTAACAGTAGTGCCCTACTTACTGAGAATTAAGGTAAATGCACCAGAACACATGCGCCGCTGTAGGACATTCTCAAAGTGATCTGATGACGTCAAAATAATGGCCTACAATTAATCGCTAGTAATCAAGCTAGCAGCACTAGAGAGCCTTCCGTGCATCAAGAGACGTAATAAAATGCTGCTTGTTTCTTTCTGTTTGATTCATGAAAAAAGGAACCGCCGGACATTAGTATGGGGAATCGCGCGAGTGGTTCAAAAGTTCTATTTTCACTTGGTTAAACTGGACAGTTCGTGCCATCTAGCGGGGCTCAGTTGAACCAAGCACGTCTGCCATCTTGGAGCCAATAGAAGTAAATTGTTAAATGGCCGTTGTCGCTCCTGTAGCTCCCGCTGCTTTTGTTCTGCTGCTACTAATGTCGGCGGCCATGCAGTAAAGCTGGGCAACGTTGTGCATGGCCATAGTGACGTGAGATGTTCTGCTTGAGCTGGGTAATTCGAAGTGCACTAACCTAAAGCAGACCACAAAAACTTGATTTTATTTCAAAAATGCACTTCCTTGGCACAAAAATAACACTGCGAGGTTTCTGGGCTGCTATTTCAACAATCAACATCGACTTGATAGTTGCCTTTAGCGTTCCTTTAAAAAGCTGAGGATGACGCAGCAAGCAATGGAAAAGAAAATGACAGGTGTAACCTTGGAGCACCATGAGTCGGGGAACAAATGGTTGTGATGGACATTTTAGTCGAAATGAAGAAGAAGAAAGGAACAGGGGTAGTACATGTAGGGCGCATGCAAGATAACCGCAGGTCATTAAGAGTAGGGGGCTGGCAGAAGCTCTCTGGGTGGGGGAAGGCCCTAGTTTTCTCAGAGGATGTGACTTTGGTTTGCTATGGCATTTTTGTCGCAATTTTTGCATGTTGGATCAACCTGTGAATATGGGAGACCTTAATACGGTCCCCCGACGAAAAACTGCAGAAAGCAGTCATTGCGTGGGCACAAGAGGTCGCCGCAGACAAGCGGCCAGCTCAAAACCCACGAAATCTCTTTTAATAAAGTTGTATCCTCCTCCTCCTTAAGAGAAGCAGACTGAATTTCAAGAGAAAACAAACGCGTGAGTGGGAGACAGAAAGTTAGGTGAGCAGATAAGGACAAGAAGCTTCCGGGTATGATGTGGCCGCGGCAAGCACAGCATCAGGTTGATTGGCGGGACATGGGAGAGGTTTCTGCCCTGCAGTGGGTGCAGTCAGGATGATAAGTGTACCGGACACTTCGCGTTATCTACTTTAGGTTATATTTACTAAAGTTTTCCGCCCGAATTTACAAAAACGACTTCGGCTAGCATCGTTTGCAAGAGAAAACTCCAGACAATGCTGGCGCTCCACATATCATTATAGACCAGCCGGCTGACCATTTGTCGAGAGCTTTTACGAAAGAAAGGGTTCACGAATGCGGGCCCTGTTTTGTGCTCAGCATCACAGCGGCACGCGCTTACACGCTTTCAGGCGGTCATCATCAGCGGCATCGTGAACCAGGCGCCCGTGGAGTACCACAACTACCGGTACCCGCCGTGGGCCATCAGCATGGGCTGGGGCCTGGCGCTCTCCTCCGTCTCTATGGTACCTTTAGTGGCCATCATCAAACTGTGCAGAGCCAAAGGCACCTGTACCGAAGTGAGTGTTCTCGCCCAGGCACCTTGACTTTTTAATAATGTCAAAACGGGAATCTATACTTATTGCGTTTTGCCGGGATAAGAAAAAAACATATATGATTTATGAAAGCGATGGTCGTATTCCGTCCATGACCGAAGTTCGGTTGTACATCGATGACACGCTCCTATTTTAGAGATAAGTTCCAGGTTCCCGTGTGGAACCTGGGTTGGCCCATGGTAGAACCTTCTACTCGCACTATATTCGTATTAGTTTTTTAACGTCTCACAAAAAACGAGCGCTACTTGTTCTAAGTATAGTCGGCGCTGAACACGCTTGTCTGCGTACATCAGAATTTATTAAAAGATATTTCAAACTCTAGCACTCACTTTTTTAGTACCAAACTTCGCACAGTCTATGGCTGAACTGTGTTAGCTTTCCTTAAACGTCATCCCATTAGAAAACAACTACTAGGCCTTGCGAGCAGGCCAATTGCTAGTTTTACGTAGGATGAATTCGGCCATATTGTGGTGGATAGCCCTGATCCGTAGATTAATGATTAATTTGTATAAGTTTATATATATATATATATATATATATATATATATATATATATATATATATATATATATCATATGTGGGGTTTAACGTCCCAAAACCACCATATGATTATGACTCATGAGAGACGCCATAGTGAAGGGCACCGAAAATTTCGACCACCTGGCGTTCTTTAACGTGAACTCAAACCTGACCACACGGGCCTACAGCATTTTCGCCTGTGTCGAAAATGCAGCCGCCACAGCCGGGATTCGATCCCGCGACCTGCGGGGCAGCCGAGTACCTTAGTCACTAAACCACAGTGACGGGGTATATACAAATCTGATTGTAATGTTGAAAAAAAAGGAAACTTTGCTTGCCTAAGAAAATGATGCCTCGCTCTAAAAGCTCTCAAATCTATCTTTGCAGAGAATTGCATACACCATCACACCCGCAGCTGAAAGACAAGAGGAAAAAGAAAAGGGTACAGTCGAGAGATTCAAGGTAAGCCTTTTCTGAATACTTTCGTGACTTCTGAAAACTACTCATAAACAGAAGCTCAAAGCCATCACCAATCGACACTGCCCACAATACATGAACACATACCACTGTCTTTTAGAGGAACCCTTCAATTTCTTTTTTTTTTACAACTATCGGTTACGGTTATTGCTAAGGAGGAGCCCTAATACAATACGAAATTTCAGTTTTATTTTCACCACTGTTTGCAAGGGTACACAAACTTTGTGCAACGAAATCAATAGCTAGACTAACTTGATCATTGATGATCTACACAGGTATGCTAGCCGCATGTGCACTTGTCATCACCAGTTCAGAAGAGCCAAAGGGTGCAGGAATGACGTTTTGCATAAGTATTGTCCTAAAAAATTGCATCATTCTTCCTGAGACCAAGAATTCGACTTGAAATGTGTCCTTTCATGTCGCATTGTAACTCACGCTAGCCGACCTTTCTACAAAATTAGACTCGCCGCGACGTGATTGTCTCCTTTTGTAAGACCTACGATGATATTGGACATTACTTACTGAAGTGCAGCGAACTTCATAAAGATCGAGAATGTTCCTCTGAAGCACACGACAAAGAATGATATAGTTTTTCCGCATGGACACTGGACGTTCATGAAGGAAGTGTTGCGGCTACTCCTGAGGTTTTCACACGTTACATACCTCTCTTGTGACCGATCATAAATTTCTGTGGAAGTTATTGAACGCTAAACCTCGAATCTAATCGGTGATGAGTGACCCTAACATTCGGGCTTTGTGTAGTGATGTAGGGACCTAGCACAGCACTGTATTCGGGATGGCTCTTGGCTCATCAATATATGCATTGTTTCGTTGCACTGTGTGCCCTTGCTTGGAAGTCTGACCACGTTTCACATTAAAAAAGTCCCAGCTTTGCCACAAAGGCGAAGCAATGAACGTGATAGCAACAAATTGGAAGGTCACGCGCAGAATGGCAAGCAGATATAAACGCGCCCCGTGTTTCTCACGCACTAATGGCGCACGAAACGTACTCCCAGGTACATATGAAAGCGATTAAGCGTCTCAGTTGTTACTTCTCTGTGTCTGAAAAGCGCACCCTTTTCGCAAACGGAGGTTGTGCAACGATTGCAGTGACCTTTGCGCGCCCCGTAACTACAACAGAATCGTTCCAGTGCCCCAACGCCAGCTAAGGCCTATGATCCTCCCCATCTGGAGATAAGGGTGCGCGAGAGATCCCCCACTCTCCTCTTCTACGCGGGCCAAAGTGCGCGTGAGAAATAAGCCGCCGCGCGACTCCGAGATGCCCGCCTACAGCAGTAAGTGGTAGATATAAGTAACCTGTCGTTTGAACGTTGTGAGAGGTACCCTCTCTGTCTCAGCGGATAACGCCTCGCATTCACGACGCAAAGGTCCCACGTTCGATTCCGCGTGGTAGTCTTTTTTTAAATTTTTTGTTTCTTGCGTCTTCATATATATAGATACGCATACATATACGGTGCATGACATCGACGCCCACGCCCTCGCCGGCGGCGAAATCCAGCCGAGAGTGTCCATATAATTATTATCACAATAAAAAAGTCCCAGTTTCACCACAAGGGAGAAGCAACAAATGCGATAAGCAACAAGGACTGTAACACTGAGAACGGCAAGCAGATCGAAACGTGCAGCGCACTGCGCTCGCATAAATTGCGTACGAAAACAACACACACAGGGTGAGAGCGAACTAACAACGTTTACCGCTCGACACTTGGCGCTCTGTTCAAACACAAACGACGCACCAAACATAATGACAAGTACAGATGAGTGCAAACTAACATGTGTCCTGCTTGTCACTTCACTGTGTTCGAAAAGCGCACTTTTTTTCGCAAACGGCGTTTGTCCAGTGAGCGAAGTGACCGTTGCGCGCCCGGCAACCAAACGAAATCAGAAGGGTTGACAGGCGGGCTAGTTGGTACAAATTCATAATGAAATAATTGGAAGCGCAAACCAACGGTACACAAGAGAAGCTTGTTTGTCTCTTCTCTTGTGTCCCGTCGGTTTGCGCTTCCAAATATTTCATCATAAAGGAAGTCATCCCGGTCAGAGTAGAAGGCGCGCGATTCTCCCTACTGAAGGATCAACGCGTGTGCACAAGCATCTAACTACCCCCCCCCCCCTTTCGTGGGACAAAGTATACGCGTGAGGGATAAGTTCGCGTCGGTGCATCGCGACGAGCTTGGTGCCGAGCATGGGTGGCTTTCTTTCTTTCTTGAGTTTTTATATATATGGATACGTACAGATAAACGGTGCATGACGCCGACGTCGGTGGAAAAAAACCAGCCGAGAGTGTCCATATAATTGTAAAACGAATGTTTACAACATAACCTGAAAGGAGTAAATAGAGCGTAGCAATTGCCTGCGTATGGTGCAAGGCTATGCAACCAACAACATCCTCCTACTTTTTAAACTCACACATTTTCTATTGCGTCGGATAGCAAACCATGCAACTAATACCAGAGTCATTCAGTACTTTTACTGGTCATAAAGCTTCGGCGAAAGTTAGATATAGGGACAGGACCAACCGTTAGGGGCGCTCTCGTCCTTGCATCAAGGGACTTTACGCGAGGCTAGAGTTGCTGTATATGCCACAGTAACTCTACGCGGTGGCATCAGAGCAAACCTGGCGCTGTAATAGCACGGTACACGTCGGAACTGTGAAACGTGATTAAATGTACCCGTGAATATTCATTACGTCTTGAGAGTGATGTAATTTTCAAAGTGATTCGGGGAAGCTGTTATACAATGAAATTTAGCGTAGTATGGGGCCTTAAAGCTAAAAATTTCATGGCAAAAAACTCGTGCTGCTTCCACTGTGAGATATTTACTGCTATAAAAGCATGCTTTTTTTTCCCCGAAAGCATCTAGTGAAAATTTTGGAACGACTCAAAGTTCTTCAAGGACTCTGGCGGAACTTAACGCGTCGCTTAAGAGCAGTGCTTGCTGTAAAGAACACCCAGTTTGAATCAATCAGTGCTTTGAATTTAGGTATTTACGAGGATCAAGCAATACTTCAAACAGCTTTTGCCTGGTTTTCGTGTGTTGTTTTGCGTTGATTTATCACTACAGTGCAGTAGCGCGTTTAAAGTTCGATTGGTCTTGCAGTGTACTTCGCAGTCCTTCACTCTGCTGTGTAGCTTTCTCATGCTGAGCTTTCCCAGTCATTTTTGATTGTTTTTACTGTTAATACAAAAACCTTACACGCCTCTTCAAACGGGAAAATTGACTGACTGCATCGCGTGCCGGTGGCGTCAACATGTGATGCAAGAAATTATTTTCTTGTGCTGATGACGCATTGACATCAAAAATTAACTTTTCACGCTTTTTACAGCTTGCTCGAGTTTTGTAAAGTTTTTTTTTTTTTTTTTTTTGGCGCATCCTCTCTTGGGCCGTCACCCTAGCAAGCTTCAATTGGTAGCGCTGAAGTCTCCGTTCCAACCAATGGATGCATGCTTTCAAAATTTCAAACTGTGAGGAGCTGCATGTAGCTCCGTCTGCTTGGAATGTAATCTCTACGCTTTTGGTCATCTCAATACCTGTATAAAAGAAAACTGTGAGCATTTCACTCATCGAGCTTCTTTATCACACCGCCATGCAACGAGGAAGAGGTAGCCAGTATGCTCACCTTCATTAACTGCGTCATTATCCACAGCAGCGGTGCCAAAGGGTCTCATGCACAGCGTTGATGCAGCCTCGACCATCTCCAGCTCAACTGACGGTTCCTGGTGACTTTTTTTTTTTTTGCACTAGACAAATACTCAGAGATGTCGTGTAAAATCTTCGGCACAGCGTCCGACAAAATATTAGGAACATCGTGTGGCGTGTTCACAACAACTTGTCCGAATAGTCACTGATTCACACGAAAGATCTCATCCTGATCGAAGTGTTTTAGATGTGAAGCATCTTACGAGTGAACTTGATCCGGTGGCGTCTGCGCTCCACTGCACGTGCGCCTACTCTCTCTCTCCCACTCTTCTCCTTTATGCAGGCGTTCGACGCCTCCTCTCCTCCACCCGCTCTGTAAACCCTACCCTCCTCTTCCTCTCCCATTTCATATAAGCGCGTGTGCTCGGTCGGCTTCCGTCTTTCTCGCTTCGATCCCGTTCAGATGAGCTGGAACTTGGAACGTCAGCGTCGGTGCCAGTTGCAGCAATGTGCCGAGATTGAGATCGTCGCGGAGGCAGCAGCAACGTAGGGCTCACAATGCCGAACGCAAACGACTGTGCAGGCAAAGTGATTCCGAACTCCAGGACAGGGAAGCGCCAACCAAGCGTCGGCGTCGAGCTTCCGCTACAAAGAGACAACGCGAGTCTGCGGCGAGGGTAGCGAAGCTTCCGAAACAACTGCAGTGACCGGGAACCGACGGAGCGACCGCACTATTCAAGCATCACTTCCGCGACAACGCACAAACACAAAGTAATGATAACGCAAACACTAAATGAAACCACACACTCTAACCGAAACGATGAGCGTAAACGGAAAAAACTTGGTGTGCACCCACAATGCTGATCCCCTCATAGTTCCCTTTAGGGGGAGATGGTGTATGGTTTTTTTTTTCCGCATACGCGCACTTGCGAGGATTCAGAGGTGAAACCACCAGTTTCTGGTCACGGTATATCGTGCTTCCATTTTACCCGCCATTCGCTGTCTAGGCAGCAAGAATATAGACACTTTTTAATCATTTTCTTCGTAACTAGATTGACACCCAGGCACGCAGCATGTACGTGGCATCATTTTCGATCTTCAGGCAGAACACGCAGAACACCAAACATACGATGAAAAACGCGCGTTGACATGCCATGGTATGCAGCCGCAGTCTGCCGGATGCCTCCACTAGTCACTGTATATGTTCGAGGACGCAGCACCTCACTGCATCCTCTTATAGCAGCGCACAAAGCTCTGCCTTAGAGTTACGGTGGAGCTTCGTGACCAGTAAAAGTATTGAAGGACCCTGGTTGTCCTTCAATACAGCCATGGTCACACGTTTACCATATATGTTATGATGAGGCTATGTTTTAGGACTCCCGCGTCACTCTTGCCACTCTAACTTCTTGGTAAAGTGAACGCGAAAGTTATTTAGACCATGAGTGAAACAACTTATGGCGTATATAAATTCTAAGCGCATGTACTTAGTTTATACAGGGTGTCCCACATAACTTTAGCCAGAGTTTAAAAGTAAGCCGGGACACGTAATTACGACGCGACAAAATCCATGTTGCTCATCATTGCCTAGAGTTAGTCAGCCTATTTTTGTGTTTTCGTATATTGTTTAATTAGATCTGTTTAATGAACTAACGTCTGAAGGAGGTGATATTGATAAAAAATTTCAACGAAAAAATTGTAGATCGGTTTGCAAAACATCCAAATAGATAGTTTTGAACTTTATATCTGTTGAGTATTAGTGTTTTTCTGCTAATTACAAATGCCCACGAAATACAAAAAATACCACGGTACAAACCCACTCGTGTGCCAGAGCGCACAATAATTCTAGTGATCCCTAACGTTCCGCGTACAAACGACCATAGCATTTGCCCCATTGTGTTGTCTCGGCAGGGCCGCAAAGATGGTGGTGGCTTTACGATGAACACGTTTTGCTATCAGCCACAAAAACGATAGCCGCTGTGACTGCTTATCGTTATCATGAACTGGTGCGAGGGAAGCGTGTCGTTCGCACATGGAACGTTAAAGAGCACTAGAATTATCGTGCGCACTGACGCGCGAGGGGGTTTGTCACGTGGTATTTTTTGTATTTCGCGGGCATTTGTAATGAGCATATAAACACTAATACTTAATAGATACAAAGTTCAAAGCTATCAATTTGGACGTTTTGCAAGCCGTTCTACAACTTTCTCGTTGAAATTTTTTATCCATATTCGTTTCTACAAAAGTTAGTTAATTAAACAGATCTAATTAAACAACACATGAAAACACAAAAATTAGTTTTACTAACTCCAGGCAACTGTGAGCAACATGCATTTGGTCGCGCCGTAATTACGTGTTCCAGCATATTTTTAAACTCTGGCTGAAGTTACGTGGGCCACCATGTATACACTTATATATCTTATGTATGTACATGTTTGCAAGCCCTCTTATAAATATCCAACATTCATGAGATATTGCATTTCTAGTTAAACTGCCTAGCTGCATTCTCATAAGCGTCTCCCGTTAATCTTTATTCACGTGAAATTATACCCAAGATTTTTCTTTTCAATGCAATTTACGTGCGAACAGGGTCAGAGAACATATTTTTTGCAGCGTCAAGAGTTGATCGAAATTCACTTTTCTCTTCATTTCTTCGTTAATTTCTCTTGCAGCTTAGCCACTGGACCTACGTGTGAAGCGTGGAGCGTCTGCCATGACCTTCACCCCTGCTGTGGACGTGTGGAATTTTGTGGAGTGTGCATCTTCTTGGACCAAAGATTTTCGGAGCCAAAGTCACTATCGCACACATCCCTCCGTGCTGTGCGTGGCTCCCGAGACAGCAACTGTGAGGGAAGACTGCCAGTGTGCTCGGTTGAACGCCTCCCTTGACGAATGGCCGGCCCCATCGGCGGTGTGGTGCACATGTCTGTGCTGAAATCGGGGGTACCTGACACCTGTGCTTACATCGTTGCTTCGTTAGGAGGGTCCGCATGACCACCGCTTGGCTTGGCTGCCACTCAAGCGGCAACGGAGCGTGCGAAACTTGGGGATAATGTAATACGCCAAAGGTTGAACTCGAGCATCCTAGTGAAGTGTGGAAATGCAGTGAGGCACTGAATACGGTCAATTTAACACCGTTGCAGAAGGATTTGCTACGCCAGATTGCAATAGTAGCTGAAATTGGTTGCAAGAAAAGCCGAGCTAGTCGGTACGAATGCATCGTGGAATACAGCAAATAGCACACAGGGACACAGGCGAAGGAGCTGACTCAGGCGCTATTTATTCGTAGATGTCATCCCAGTATGCGAACATGGCCTGGCACGGCATTCACCCACGGCCAACAATGAAACTACTTAAACTAGTTCAAACCCGTATTCGTAGTACCACTGTACGCAGTTTCTCAAGGCTGTGCTCGCCTACTAGCTTGGTATCTCGGAATAAATAGCGCCTGTGTTGTCTCACTCACCCTGTGTGTTATTTTGGCTGTTCTACAATGTGAAAAACAGTCTTAAAGAAACACGCTGCCCCGCGCTCGTCTTACTTGACGATACTCAGTCATACTACGAGCTACGTCACATTGGGGACGAACATCATTCTCTTAAAAAGGTGGCTCCCTTTCCTCGTAGGTGACAGAGGCAGTTTTCGAACCTAGCGCAGCGTTGAGCCTAGCTTTTATGTCGCCCGTGTACGGTGACGGTGACCGTCTTGATATAGCTTAGTCAGTGGTTTGTCGTCCCCATACCCCGGTTTTCCTTCCCAAGACCTATGTGTCACTTGCATATCAACGTGCTTTTGAAGCCGTATAGAGTAATCGAACTGTAAGCTATGCAGGGCTGCACCAAAAATTATAAGAGCCCTACATGGTCCCGTCCCGTTAGCTCTCTTGTACCGGCACAAGTACCACGTGAATCAAGTGGCGAGCTTCAGTCGCTGTGTAGAGAGCGCGACAATACATATCGTTGTTGCAGCAAACTAACTTCGTTTCGAGAACGTCGTGTAAATTATATGTGCGGTTTAACGCTTTTCTGATGGCCCAGTTAATTGGGCAACCCTTGACAACAGATCACGAATGCGTAGGCGTCGTAACATCCACATATTGGGCCAGTTAAACGCAACAGAACTGTCTGGTTCTTACGACAGCCAATCGACAGTTCTGTGTGTCTTTGTAATGCTTTGGCTCAAGCTCGTTCAAGAAGTTAGACGGGCTGTGGACCGCGAACGAAGTGTTGTATCATATGCAGGCCTCATATTTCCGACGTTTTGTTTGCATAACTTCACGCAAGTTCTGCTACCGTTCATTTTTTTCTTTAATTTTCTCTGTGCCAGATGTTGACAGGAGCCTTGATGCTGTTCAGCACGAACGACACTTGCGTGTGGTCCAAGAGGTGTCAGCAGAATGCGTTGTCGCATGTTCAATTCTTTTTTTCTTTAACCATTTCTGGCTTTCCTCTTTTACCTTCACTACATATAGTATACCTTCATAAGGAATAAGGTTAAACAATATCAATAACAAATTGTCTGCAACAGGCAGTTGACGACCGACTTTGAAAGCTCAGATCTTTGAAAGTCAGCTGACACATAGAGTATGATAAACACAGCGTTATGAAGGTCTAAATACATTTAATGTGGACTGCGCATATATGTTAGTCTGGGTGTTCACTGAGTGCGTGACCACGTGCGTGCCAAAGCTCTATTTTACAAGGTAGCGCGTTTTATTTTTGAAATGCTTTCCGACCAAAGTGCGCGGCGCTTTCACCGTTCATAACCCACAAATGTAGCATACGTGTGCGAAATCGTGGATGTATAAGCGTAGCGCACATTATTTTACATAGAGCGAATGTAACAAGAAAAAAAAATTACCTATGTGTACATAGCCGCTGCAACGCCCATACGTCGACGTCATGCGTGACCTTGCTAGAAATAATGCGGGAGCACTAATATTACCAAACCACCGCAACGCCTGCTCCCGCGCAGCTCAGAGTTTCTGTAAAATCCGATACATGGAGCTCACACTCGCTTCTGCTTTGCGCTTAGTCATACCTGGTCGGTGCTGAAGATCGGACCACGGTGTCTGCGACGTGCCGTCGCCGTACGTCGGCGATCACGCATGATGATTGGCCCTAGTATCTGAAAAACTTAGTACCACAGCCAACGAACAACGTCCCCATCCTGTGTGCATGGTAATTTTTTGAGGAAGAGCTAACGCACCAAGTTCAGAGGCGGGGCGCACACATCATCACTCTGACAAGGCATCATTCCCCACTTCGAGGCAGTGGGCTTCTCGGCAGAATGCAGAATATTCCCGAGAGGCCCTCTATTCGCTACGCAGAAAACAGCAATCCGGGTGAAAGCACGTGATCCCCGGCATTAAGGACACGGGGCTTTTTGGTGCGAAGCATGGCAGGGAGCAAGTCATTTCGCGCTTAATGTATCCGTATACTCGCCGCAATATTTCCGGCCCTCCATCAATACGTGTTCAGTCACTCGTGACAAAACTATGCGTGTGTGTGGGAACAAATAACTACAAAAACGTTGTCATTTTCACAGTTCTATTGTTCCAAAGAAAGTTCATTATTCACTCATGGAGCTCCAGAGAGTCCTTTGCGCTCGTATAGAGCAGGCCTGCTTTTAAAAAGTAGTGAGCATCCCTTTGGTGTCTTTCGCCCATATGTAGAGTCAAATAATTATGTCGTACCAACCGGTTATGAGATTATACAATACACTAACCTCCTATAATTTTAGTGCTTTAAGTTTTAGCGCAATAATTTTACAGTATAAAATTACAATATTTATATACCTTCAATCAGCAGTGTGGATGGCATCATAATTGCACATGCCACAAAGGCGTTGCATTTAAACGCGCACACATTATGACACATACGTATTATTTGCACAATAATATAGAAGTGCCGTCAGGTAACTTTTTTTTCCTCTTATGTGTCTTCTTGAAGCCAATTGAACTCAGGGTGTTTTAGTGAGGCGACGCCATGGGCTCGCCAGCTCATCGTTCGCGGCTTATAGAGTGTCAGTGGCAGCGGGTAGAGCTTGTAGTTCGTAGCCTATAGCTTTGACCGCAATGGTATCCAGATGTGTGTGTATGTGTGTCTGCTGTACAGGCACCTTCACGAGAAGCACCGCTTATGTCCACGCGCACAAAGTACATATATATTATACATATACGATATACATATATACATGTAATGTCGGCGTCCAAGCATTCTGGCGCCCCTGTATTCACGCAGCTTAGGAGGAGACGACTAAGGAGCTTTAGCCACGCAGACGCAGGCGCAAAGAACGTAACGAGACATAGTAGCACCATGTTGCTTGGCCACACCGTGCGTAACATCCGAAAGTTTGCTTACGCCCAGGCTTTTACGCGCAGGAGTGTTACCTACTGTGAACGGCGTACTTTCAGGGGCTACACAAGGAACAAAGGAGGTTGTGAACGTTTGCGGTCCATAGAGAAGCTTTGATGGCGCGTTATTTTTGGAGTGGACAAGGTTCATGCAAGGAAGTTCGCTTCGCCTGTGTACAACGGACGTCACCTCGAGTTTACTTCGAGCTGATTCAGGTCGGTCGGCCCAGGTCAGCTGGAGCCGACTCGAGTCGGACCGATTTAGACGGGATCTGCTCAGTTCAGCCCCAGTGGACCCGGCCGGCTGCGCCATTTGGTGTTACACAAAGCAGAATAACAGAACCACAGCGTACAGTGTTTCCAGAGTGCGTTGTTTTCCCCGTAGCAGAGAGGCGTTACTTTCCCCGCTACCTTTGCCTACCGACCCATACATTTATTGTGTGGCGCTGTAAATGTCAGAGTACACGCGTAGGAAAAAATGCCACTTCGCTATTTTGTGTGGGTATGTATTTCATAATCAACACGTGGCAAGCATGCAAGGTAATAACGAAGTATATATTATGCGAAGCCCATTTCAAGGGCAGCATTATTTTTCTCTTGCAGAGCACATTCTAGATTCTATATGTGTGGCACTCAACAGGTGTTGTTGGGCGGCAGTTATGCTTTGGGGTCTTGCGTCAGAAGGACGCCGGTTTGGCGAATTCACTCGTTGTGCGCTGCTCCCAGCTGGTCCCATTGGTACTACGCAGCTGTCTACTCTTAACCACTGTCGAGCGATCAATGGATAATATCAGGGAGTGGGACGTACGTTTGACCACACGAACTGACAAGTAGATCAGTGAAACCTGCAGTGGCAGTGAAGAGGGCATAAGGCAGAACATAAGATTACATAAAGCAGTTTCTAGTCTCGTTCGATAAAAACCCAGCTATAACCTGAAGACACTGAAAGGTAACTGATAATTAGCGCGCCTGGTAACAGTTAAATGAAAAATAAAAAAAGATGGGGGGGGGGGGGGCTCACATAGAGAACTGAACATAGGAACACTTTATCTGGCGTTTCCGTTTGATTTAAATACATTAATACTTTGGCACTTTAATATGGCAAGCTTGCTTACGACGGTGCGAGTGAACTCCGGATGATTTATTGAATTCAGGAGGCGTCTCCTTCAATGAAAGCAGTGGCATTTATGTTAGTTGGCGTAGTGTTACGGCACTTGATAATTATGATGAAATACAAATCAAGTCACTGTATGCCTATATTTTTTTTCTCTCGGTTATCGGGTTTCTGCAGTGCAACACCTTCAGACAGAAGCTCCATAGCGTTTTTAATGGGACGAGGTACTATATACTATACCACATCACTATACCGGCTAAAAACACGCCTTTTGTTCATCCCCAAAACCTTGCAGCGTACTATATTCTTGCAGAAAACGCCTGTTCGAGTGGTACGAGCACATAATGTAAAATAAAAGGAAGAAATAAGAAAATGGGAAACGTCGTAGGCTTTCGTAGACTACGGTGGGAAAGAGAACAAGTCAGCTATACGTTCGCCGGAACGGCACCCACTTGAAAAGTTG